TAGAGAAGCACAGTGTCAATCATCTTATAAATAATCACTCTAAAACGTTGACATTTTATTATTATTATTATTATTATTTTTTTTTTTTTTTTGTGATTTCTCCTTAATAATATTTAATTATGTGGACTTCATTACATGAAACTGTTAGAATAATTTTATTATGTGGGCTTCCATTTGATTGCAAATTTTACGGGTTAGATGTATGGTTTGCAATGATACTGTGATTATGTCCAATATGCTAATGATCACTTGGGTCATTGTACACTTTACATGCTATATTATTATGATGTGGTACTTTTAAATATGTGGGCCGGAAGTATGTAAACCCTAATGAGGGTTTGAGTCGGTAATGGGCCGACTTTATAATTTTCTATATAATGGTTAGGTCACCTTCCCTTTCCATATTGTTTTTGGCTTGCTCCATTGACGGTTGATTATTTGTGAGAAGCAAGGAAATGAAGATTTAGCTCGTAATATTCATACATAACAATATCTTTCGCATGTATGAATTTCGAACTATCAATTAACTATGTGATTCTTATTTTTAGCATGATTGTATTGGATAATTTCAACAGAAACATGTCTAACTAAATATAGTTTAATTATGTAACGTATCTTAATAAAATAATAGTAGATAGGATATTTGAGATTTGAGGAAATTTCATGTGGAGGATGTGTCTAGAGAAAGAGAAAAAACTACAATCATTTTACAAATAGTAAGTTTAAAATTTATTATAATTTTAAAATATCATATTTTTGTCTATGTCGTTTAACACGTTTCTTCAAAGATCAATCATTCTTTCTCGAACTTTTTGCCATTTGAGGAACTGTTGAAAGTTGGGGCTTAGTTATCTTTTCTTGTTTTTATTTTCATTTTTTTCCGAAGATTCGTGCTTTAATGAATTTATTTGTTCGTCTACTACATTTATTTTTTAAAAGAAACTGTTTTTTTGTTAAAGATTTTAATTTCTATGGTTGAATCGAATTGGAGAAGTTCAAAGCTAGACTAACTCATTCATAAGGTCAAGCTGGTGAACTTCCACTAGGCCGAGTTAGTCGAGTTGAATGTGTATTTATGGGAAAAATAGCAAAACAAATCAAGACTGTTTTTATTATGTTCAAATTTGTTATCAGACATATAAAAATGGCTTTCTGAATGGAAAAGTAAAAAAATAAAATAAAGGTAATATTTTCTAGTTTATCTAAAATATTTTAAAGACGCAATTTTTAAAAGATTTTCTGCCCAGTCCACATCTAATTCATTTTGCAACCTTGGGGAAACATAAATACACATTTTTTAAAGACCTAAAAGGGGGTGTTGACGGCTAGAGGAAGGCAAGAAGATTGAAGACAAAATAGGGAAGAAATTAATTGAAAAAAGGGGAGATTGACAATTGGAAAAAGAAATCAAGCGGCAACGAATAGTTTTCTTAAATCCTTTCTTCTTATCCATGTTATTCATATTTAAGTCAATTATGTCAATTTTCTTCATTA